CAGCGGACATGAATATCTGGAGGTTGGGGAAAGGTATCTGCTACATAGACAAGTCAAAAGGAAGCTGAGAGACAGGTGAGTGGTGGCCTAGAGGCCAGGGTTCTGGTTCTGGTGGTCAGTCCATTTCCTAGGAACCAGCCAATGCTGTAGGGATGTGTGTGAGTGTGTGTGTGTGTGGGGGGGGTGGGGGGTAGGGGCGCGGCACTGTAGGGGTTGGAATGAACAGGAGGCCGCTGAAGGGAGGGGCCCGGCAAGGACCAAATGGGAGCTCAAGGCTCAAACTAGGTAGACTGAGTTAAGGTCAGATCTAATGGAGGACTGAGGAGCTGTACAATAGAAACACGGTGTAGGCCACACATATAATTTTTTAAACTTTTAATTTTGAAATAATTATAGATTCACAGAAAGTTTTAAGGATATTCCAGAGTGGTTCGATGTACTCTCCTAGTTTCCCCCAGTGGGTACACCTGTCACTATAGTACAGTATCAAAACCAGGAAAGTAACATTGGTGCAGTGTGTGTGTATATGTCCATGTCATTTTATCAGTGAGCTGATTCATGTCACCACCACTGCAGTCAAGATACAGAACTGTACTGTCATCATCTCTCTGGTGCCATTCCTTTCTGGTCACTCGTCACTCCACTTCCCTTCTCTCATTGCCTCTAACCCCTGGCAACCACGAGTTTGCCTTCCGTCTCTTAATGTCATTTCAAAGAGGTTATGTAAGTGGAATCGTCTGGTATGTCATTCTTTTGAGATGAGCTTTTTTTCACTCAGCATAATGCCCTTGAGATGCATCCCAATTGTTGTATGTATCGATAACCCATTCCTTTTTATTGCTGAGTAATATTTCATGGTATGAATGTACCTCAGTTTGTTTAGTCATTCACCTATTATTGTAGGACATTTTTGTCATTTCGGGTTTTGGCTATTAGCAAAAAAGAAAAAAGCCTACTATGAACAATCAAGGGCAGGTTTTTGTGTGTACACAGTTTTCATTTCTTTGGGGTAAATGGCCGGAGTGTGATTGCTGAGTTGTAGTGTTAGTGTATGTGTAGACTTCTTTTTAAAAGAAACTGCCTATTTCTAAGTGTCTGGGCCATTTTGCATTCTACCAGCAATGTATGAAAGATCCAGTTGCTCCTTATTGTTGCCAGCAATTGCTGTTGTCACTTTCTATTTTATCTCTTCTAATGATATGTGGTAATACCTCATCCTGGCCTTACTTTGCATTGCCCAAATGGTTAATGATGTTGAATGTTTTTCATGCATTTATTTGCCAGCCTCTATCTTCTTTAGTAAAATGTCTCTTTGTGTCTTTTGCTGATTTTTCTAATTGGATTGTTGGATCCTTGCCTCATTTTCAATCTTTGGGAAAAAGTCTTTCACCTTTAACTGCAATATTAGCTATAGGGTTTTTGTAGGTTTTTGTTTATCAAGTTGAAGAAGTTCCCTTCTAGTCTTAGTTTTCTGAGAGTTGTTTTTTTTTTTTTAAATCATGAGTGAATATTGGGTTTTGTCCAGTGCTTTTTCTATATCAATTGATGTGGTCATGTGATTCTTTTTAATTTTTGGCCTGTTAATATGATGAATTACATTGATTTATTTTTAAATATTAAACCAGCCTTGCATCCTTAGAATAATCCCCACTTGGCCATAGTGAATAATTATTTTTATATATTGATGAATCCTCAGTGCCATTATTTTGGTAAGGATTTTTGTTTATATTTATGTAGGATATTGGTCTTTAATTTTCTTTACTCGTACAATCTTTGGTTTTGGTATTAGGTTAACAGTGTTCTCATCAAATGCACCTGGAAAGTGTTCTTCCTCTATTTTCTGGAAGAGATTGAGTAGAATTGTTGTGAATTTTTCTTTATACATTTGATAGAATTCTGTAGGGAAACCATCTGGGCCTGTGTATTTTAGGGAAGGTGAATTTTAAATTATGAAGTCGATTTCCTTAATAGTCTAGTGCAGTGGTTCTCAACCTTCTGTCCCTTTAAATACAGTTCCTCATGTTGTGACCCAACCATAAAATTATTTTCGTTGCTACTTCATAACTGTAATGTTGCTACTGTTATGAATCATAGTGTAAATATCTGATATGCAGGATGGGCTTAGGTGACCCCTGTGAAAGGGTCGTTCGACCACCAAAGGGGTCGCGACCCACAGGTTGAGAACCGCTGGTCTAGTGCTACTCTAATTATCTATTTCATCTGGGGAAGTAATGGTAGTTCGTGCTTTACATAAAACTGGTCAGTCTCATCTAAACTGTCAAATGTATGTGTGTAATTTTTCACATTTCCTTATTATCCTTTTAAAAAATCTTCATTTGAGGGCATTGTTAAAGAGAGGAAGGAACAGAGGGATAGAGAGAAACATTCAGTGTGAGAAACATTGATAGGTTGCCTTCCATATGTGCTCTGACTAGGGATCGAACCCACAATCCAGATATGTGCCCTGACCCGGAATCAAATAGTGCACAGGACAACATTCAACCAACTGAGCCACTCTGACCGAGCCTTAGCATTCTTTTGATAACTACAGACTCTGTTGTTCTTAGCCCTGGAAATTTTCCAGTCTAGTAGATAAAAAATGAGTCTTGTGAATTTAGTTTTCATAGTTTTAGATTAATTAGATGGATATGTTTGTGTTTTTATTTGTATCTTTGCCCTTTTTTCTCTTACCTGTGTATCTTTTTCATATTGATTTATAAATGTTCTTTATACATTATGAATACTAACCCTCTTCCTATCATATATAATATATAATCTTCCCAATTTGCCCTTTCTCTTTATTATGTTCTTTTACAGTTTCTTTTGCTCACCATACATGCTTTTAATTTTCACATAATGAAATCAGTATTTTCCTTTAAAGCCTCTGGGGTTTCATGCTTTATTAATAGTACTCAGTCAATTTCAAGAGATAGAACTCAAATCAAACTAGCTTGAACAAAAAAAGGAAAGAAGGAAGGAAGGCAGGAAGGAAGGAGGGAAGGGAGGGAGGGAGGGAAGGAAGGAAAGATGTTGGCTTATGTAACTGGCACTGTAGAGATAGATCTCTGCACGACTGAATCAGGCATCTGAATAGTGTGCCATCAGGTCTCTGTGTCTCACCTCTTCTCACTGTTCAGCTTTGTCTATGTCTATGTGGGATATCATTTTTTTCTAAAGCAGATAGGTTCTGTGTAATGATAAAAAGGCTGCTGGCAGCCCCAACCTTTCATTCTAATGATTTAGAATCCAAAAATAAAAGACTTCTTGAGTCTGTATGTCATATCCCATGGAAGGACTCAGAATGACCCTATCTGGATGGTGTGCCCTCTTCCGTCTTCTTCTTGCCTTGAGCCAGTCCATAAAGATGAGTGATATGCCACGATTGGCTGTTTCCCCAATTCTGTGGCTCGTGAGCAGATGGGGTACCTGTTAGGACCCCATGAAACAACAGCTCCCCAGAAGAATGATGAGCAGGTAGCAACCAAAGCAGTCATCTAAATATGTCACTGCTAGAAAGACCTTCTCTAGTGTTATATGATTTAAAAAAATAGTGTATTTCCTTCTAATATGTATGGTTTCATTGTTTTAAGTGTAAGTTTTGACCCGTGTGAGAAAGTGAGGGAGACAGAGACAGGGAAAGGGAGAGAACATGGTGTGAGGTAGGGATCCTTTGCTGGATGCTGTTATACCTGAAAAGAAGATGACCTTGAGACGTATTGGATCACCCATTTCACAGTTTGATCACTTTTTCTTCTGTTTCCCTCAAATCTATTCTGTATTAATACGAGTCTTGTAAGATTAGGATGGTGGGAAAGACAAGGGCTTCATCTAGCACAGTGGGCATTAATATGAGTTGTTGAACCCAGTACTTATGCTCTCCAGGGGGCATCTGGGCATCCAAATATTACATAGCAATGGAGGTATAGAGAGGGAACCAGGAACACCACAAATACCCTAACCTACTTAAGAATAGGGGTAAGAGTAAACCTTGAATTCCCTCCCAGAGCCCTGATGGGATTCAGGGGAGGCAGGGTGAGCCTAACATAGGGAACAAAGGACACAAATGGACAGGAAACTGCCATCTCTCTACCACCTGTGTTCACAATCAGGTCACCTGTGGGGGTCAACACATGTGGACACCCAGCAGTGGACAGCTTTTTTCCTAAAATATGTCCCCAAGCATTCATTGAAAGCTTCATTATTTTATCTCTTTACCATTAGAAGAACGTTTTAAAAATTATTCTCTTGTGCTAAACACATTACCTCAGGTTCAATAATTCCATCCACTTCACCCTATTCTTTTTCTTTACTTGAAGGTAAAAAAATTAAGCATTTTAATTTTAAAAGCTAGTACAGTATGATCCCATTTGTATGAAAGTATTGCATTGACTCTGATCCCATCTATTGATCCTTCCATCTCTTTCTGTGCCAGCTGTCAAGGATGATCATTTCTAGATTGCACTGGGTTTTTCTATTCTGCTTTCATCTTTTAAAAATAATCAGCACTTATCATTTCTATAAAAGAAGTAGCCTTATTCCTTTTAAAGAATAAGGTGTATGAAAAGAAGCATCAACATTCTACTACTTAGAGTTGGATGTATCTTTCTCAATTTGTGAAAAAATATAGTCTATTGGCAATTATTGTGCATTTGTGGTGAAATCTACCCAGAGCCTAAAAAGACCTCAGCCAGAAAGGGAGGAGACAGGGAGAATACAGCCAAAGAGGAGAAGAGAGAAGAGACAAGGGAGGCCTCCAGGTCAGGGACAGCCCATGGTTTCAGGGGAGTAGCCCCTCATGTTTCTGTGGCAGAAGACCCCTGGTTTCCATCGCTATTTTCTCTTTGAACATTTTGTATATATGACTGGCGTTTGGCTTCTTTTGTATTCCTCCCTGTGCCTCCGTCAGCATTGTGCATCCAACAGGTGCTCAATAAGTGCTTACTGGATGCACAGTTCCCAAGGGGGTCATCCTCCCTAAATTGCACCTCTTTGTCTTTCAGGCTCACAGGCTTTCAGCTGCCAGCCACCATCGTCAGCGCGGCCACCACCCTCTCTCTGCATCTCATCAGTGACTACGCAGTCAGTGCACAGGGCTTCCGCGCCAGCTATGAAGGTAGGTGCTCCTCAGCCACGGGCACAGGGGCCTGACGTGGAATAGCCACAGGCAGAGCTGTGGTGCTCCTGGCTGCCGGGAAGGGCTGCTTCTGATTCAGAGCTTGCGCCTGTCCTGCCAAGGCTGGTACTGACCAGTAACTCAGTTACTTCAATTCCCAGCTGTGTTTCTAGGAAGCTGAGAATTGAAATCAGAGCCCAGTGGCAATGGTTTGTCCTGAGGGCCTGGTAATGTCTACTTCTCTGTCCCCTTAACTGGGTTTTGTTATGTTTTTATTTTTTTTAATTCTATTTTCTATTGGGCTTAATTGTATAAGGTACATCAGCTTGGTTTTAGAAATAAGAGCGATATAAACCCTAAGTAAAAGCAATAAAGTAAGTCACAGGAAAAAATTTCTGCTCGCCCTAACCAGTTTGGCTCAATGGATAGAGCATCGGTCTGCAGACTCAAGCGTCCCAGGTTCGATTCTGGTCAAGGGCATGTACCTTGGTTGAGGGCACATACCCAGTAGGGAGTGTGCAGGAGGCAGCTGAATCGATGTTTCTCTCTCATCAATGTTTCTAACTCTCTATCCCTCTCCCGTCCTCTCTGTAAAAAAATCAATAAAAATATATTTAAAAAAAATAAAAAATAAATTTCTGCTCAATATAGTGATGGCAAAGAGTCAGTTTTATATCATTCAGAGAAGAACAATTGCTACTTTCTCCTTAGTAGCATGGATTAGGGTTTCTTGGTTTGAGTTATGCAAATAATTTCCACTTCTCTCAGCCTGTTTAAATATGGTGTTAGCATTCAAATTAACACTAATATCTTCAGATTATACACTATTATTATTATTAACTTTATTATGTTAGTTCAGAAGGTGGTACTTCTGGATCTCTGTCATTTCCCTGGGAAATTTACATTTCATTAATAGGTAATTATGCTGCTCTTGGCTAAGACCCACACTGCTATTTCGTGTTGAGATCATTAATGGGCTTATTTTAAGACTGTTAATGATAATTAATAACAGTAATGACATAATACCCTAGTAAAGCATGCCAGATATTCTAAAGCTTTCTTTCTCTTGCCTCCAAGAACTTGAAAAATAAGTGATGCTGGCTCACTCTACCTCTCTGAGCACGCCCTCGCTTTCCCCTCCTCTGTCTTATCCCCTGAGGCCCCTTACCTTTGCCTTTCTCTCTCCTGAGCTCCAAGGGCCTTTTTCTGCCTCTGTAACTTGTTTCCTGTGCCTATGCAGCCCAGCCAGCTCACTTCTACTACCTCTATAACTGTCTAGATAAACTTTCTCTCATCATTTGAAAAAAGTAGTGATGCTTTCTTGAATAGCATCTGTATTCTATAGCAATACAGAAATAGATCCCACCTTTGTCTTGGCAGAAATATACTACGGAAAGAGGGCATATCTTAGCTTCTTGGCTCAATCCCCCCCTGGTGCTGTGGGGGACACAGTTTGATACTTTAACCTGAGCAATTGAGGGCTCCTAGAAGGTCTGTTATTTTTTCATTAAAGCTTCCTGAGGAGGCTCCAGAGAAAGTTCCACACGCCTTTAACTGAGGGCTCCTGAAAAAACCTATGTGTCTTTGAAGGGAGGTGTCCTGAGATAGCTCAGTTTCCCTTTAAAAACAACTAGTTCCTCCCAATATCAAGCCTGTAATCTTGGTCATCCTGGCTACATCTTTACCCTGAACCTCTGGCCCTGAATCCAAACCAGTTCTCTCCAAAGTTTGAGCTACAACTTCCTTCCTAAGGGAGACCTCTTCAGGAGCTTTCAGGAGTTTCTTGCAAGCTCTCCGACCTTGAGCTCCATCCACAGTATGTTGGCCTCGGGGAGGTGGGCTGTGTTTGGGGAAGGCTGGGGAAATGAGGCAGTGACACCAGGGTCATACGTACCTGCAGCGATCCTGTGTGCTCAGAGGCACCACTGGGCCCTCATGGTGACCGCCTTCAACATTCCTTGGAGATATTTGTCTGAGGTCTGGGCTCTCATGAGACTTTAAGAAAAAAGAGCCCTATTTACTTGCTGACCTCATTGACCCCACCCAGGAACAGTGCCAACACTTCTCATTGGGCAGAGCCATTCTGAGGTTACAGTCACAGGGCCCTTTGCAGCCAGAGGCCCGGCCTGGACTTCATGGGCAGGGTGTGTAGTTGGGCATCAAAGGTTTGCAGACTCCTTGTAACTAGAGGCAAAATTCTGAAGGTATAAGGATGTATGTATTTTTTCCTAGGAAGGGTCTAGAAGACGGATCAACAAACTAGGCCTCCTCCCTCCCTCAGGGCTTCATCCAGCCGCTGGCTCCTTTTTGTAAATAAACTTTTATTAGAACCCAGACAAGCCCATTTGTTGACATATTGTCTGTGACTGTTTGCATGGATTACAACTTCAGAGTTGAGTTATTGCCACAGAGACCATATGGCCTGCAAAATCTAAAATATTTGCTCTGTCCCTTTATGAGTGCTGTGCTATGAAACACAGTAGCCATTAGCCACACAAGGCTATTTACATTTAAACTAATCAAAATTAAATACAATTTAAAGTTCAGTTTCTCAGTCATACTGGCCTCATAGCAAGTGCTCAGTAGCCACATGTGGCTTGCGGCTGCCCTAGTAGACAGCACAGACAGAGAGCATTTCTATCATTACAAAAAGTTTGACTGCACAGAGCTGAGCCAGAACTTCCATCAGATTCACAAAGGGCCTGAGTTTCAAACAAGGCTGCAAGCCATTAGAATAAAATAGAAACCCATGGGTCCTTCCTCCCACCTGCCTGGCACCCTCAGAGGCAGCCCAGTCGGGAGAATGCTCAGCGTTCCACAGGACCACCAAGGGCAGAAGCAAGGGCCTGTCCTACATCAGCCACATGATGGTGTCAGCTCTCTAAGTTATTGGCACTAAGTTGACAAAGCCTTGCAGGCAGGGCCCTGTCAAGCCCTGGACGGTGCAAACAGTTTGCTATCGCTGAGGGAGTCCCTGGTTTCTGCCGACTCTGCAGTCTGTGTGGCTACTGTCTGTGTGCTGACCAGCAGATGTCTGCTGACTGCGGGGTCAGGTGCAGAGAAGCCAAGGCTGGGGTTATCACCAAGCCACATGGATCTGCCTTAGGACTGGACCATGGCGTAGTATGTGCATCTGGAAAAGTGGGAGTTGCACTGACTTTTGGAACAGCCGAAGAAGAGGGGCAAGGAGGGAAGGTGGGAGGAACCAAGGGGGCAGCCACTGCTGAGAATATTGCTCAAGGTACATGCACCCACAGTGGTGGCCTGGGCCCTTGCTATTACTGGACTTACCAGACAATCCCATATTTGGGAATTGGCTGATAAACACTAGCTTCTTGAGCTTATAACTGACCTTGGGCAGATTTTTAATAGCTCTCTGGGCCTTATTGTGGGGGCACAAGCAAAAGCCAGTAGTCAAAAAGACTGAAGATGTGGCTCTCAAGGAAGGAAGTCAGCCCTGTCTTCCATTGCAGTTCGCCTTCATCATTTGTGCTGAACAGCAGCAAACAGGCAGGCAGGCAGACAGGCTGCATAGAAAGGGCCCCCTACTGACCTGTGCTGCCCCCACTCAGGACAGCTTCCTTAGAGTCTGTATTCAGGAAGTCTCCGTACCCATTTCAAAATGACACCAGGCCCTGCATTCAGTGACCTCCATTGGCTGACATCCCTGATAGTCTGCTATCAAAGCGAGTTTGTTCCTCCTCCACTCTGTTCAGGAGAGTGAAAAGTGCAGATAAGGAACTGACTGCTACTGGGTTTTTAGAGAAAGGTGAAGTCGGGCGAAGAGTGTCAGCTCATAGCTGCTGCTGCTTCGAGGGGAAGATCAAAAAGGCCAGTCATCAAATCCCAAGAAGATAGGAGATGCTTGATTTGCAATCCCAGGGAGCAAGAGCATGGGCTGCAGCTGTGGACTCGGGGGAAGGGGGTCAGCTTGTATTAAGCACTAACTATATGCCAGGCACTGAACATCTATTATCTCATTTAATCCCCACGACAGCCTGGTGGACAAATGTCGCTATCTTCATCTTACAGATGTACAAGCTGGACTCAGGAGTTTTGTGTTCAGCTTAAGGCTACTTAATGGCCAGAAATGGCTTTTCTGGTGCTAAAGACTACACTGTTCTCTTACCCTGTGCTCCTGCAAAACTCCTGGAGTAAGGCAGAGATTGGTGACTACATTTCACAGGTCGGTAAACCGGAGCTAAGTCGGCGGCAGGGAATGACACAGGCTGGCCTGGGTTATTCCAGGGAGGCAGCAAGAGGTGTGTTCCAGAGCTTCTCAGTTCAGATTGCTGGAGAAAGTATAGGATGCCCAGTTCATTTGAATTTTTAATCAAATTTTTAAAATTTGATTTTTTTTATATAAGTATATCCCCAATATTAGCTGGGACATACTTATACTAAAGAAATTATCTATTGTTCATTTGAAATTTAAATTTAACTGAGCATCCTGTATTTTTATTTGCTAGATTTGTCAACCTCATTCTCAGTATTGATTCACCAGGAGCCCTCACTCTACTCATCCCTCCTCCTGACTCCCAGATCTGCCGCTTCCTGCTTGCCCAGCTGGGGCTGCCCATCTACTACAGAGGGACTGGCCACACCTCTGCCCTTCCAGGGAGTGCACATCTAGACAGCTCTCTGTACACACACACACACACACACACACACACACACACACGTGCATGGGCAGATCCGTGTGCACTTGGGGTTATGCTGTGTGTGCAGTTCTGTAATCTGATTAATGAGGCCGACATTTTTCTGTGTTAATAGAAGTAGTCCTGATTTGTCCTTCCTAATGACTATCAGGGAGATAGCCGTTGTGGTTTGCATATACCATAATTATTTAACCAGTCATCTTCTGTGGACATTTAGGTGAAGAATATCCTTGTACATACAACTTAAACCCTCACCTAATTATCTTCTTAGAATAAATTCTTGGAAGTGCAGTTGCTGGGTCAAAGATGTGTAGAATTTTATGTTTTAATACATAATTGCAC